AAATAGCTTGGAGGGGGGAGTATGCATGGGATGGAAGAACACAGGGAAGAGGTAACTACAAGGAAGAAGTGGGAAGAGAGCCATGACATTGTGGGGAATTGCAGTTAATGTCATAAAACAAAATGTGTATGAACTGCTGTATGGAAAATGAATTTGCTCTGTATACTTTCACCCAAATCACAATAAAAATTAAAAAAAAAAAATTTCAATACTATTTTTCAATCAACAGTTTCTTAACTTTTAACATGAAAACAAAAGGTGTAACTAGTCTAATATATTTAGTTCCAGTCATTTTGTTTCTAGGAATCTATCTGGAGAAATAAGTAAGAAACATGGACAAATATTTGAATACAAAGATACTCATTCCAGAAAAAAATTTGGAAGAAATTAACAGTAAGAAAATTGTTTAACAAATTATGGCACAAATATGTGATATAGTTAATGAAAAATAGCAATGTACAGAGAATTTTTAATGACACTGAAAAATGTTTACAATAAAATTGACTGAACCATTTGAAAATGCCAGTATCTGACCCTTCCTTTGCCCGTAAAAAAAAGGAGCTCTGGTATGTAGTGGTTAAGGGATTTGGCTGCTAACCAAAAGTTGGTGGTTCAAACCCACCAGCTGCTCCACAGAAGAAAGATGAGGCAGTCTGTTTCTGTAAAAATTTATAGCCTTAGAAATTCAATGAGGGTCATTATGAGTCTGAATCAACTCAACAGCAGTGAGTTTGGTTTGGTTTGCTGCCTACAAAAGTGGCAATTTCATTAACCTAAAATAAAGTAAAACACTTTAGACTAAAGAGCTGATGCTAAATATGCTAAATAAGTGAAACATATGCATACAGGAAAAGACTCGAAGGATCGTGAGATTCTGAGTGGTTTGTAATATGCTCTTTCGTACTACGTAAAATGTCGCATGATCAACGTGTTGTTTTCATAATCAGAAAAAAATATTTTAATTTGTTTATTGGAGGGCTCTCATGATTGATATCATTTGATATTATACAATCAGAATTGCATTTTTGAGAACTGGTAGGCTGTCAATATCCCTAGTTTAGTGACATGTGCCATAGAATCATGCCTATCTTTTTAAATGAACTCTCTGAATTTGACATCACTAAAGTCCAGGGTACATTTCCCTTCCCAATCTTGAGCCTAACCCCCAACTCACGCTTCCTTTCTGAGTTTCACCTTGTTGTTCAGACATAAATTCAGAGTGACAATTTTCCAGCTCCTTCCTCTGGTAGCAAAGCATGTAAAAAATTTGCCAAAAGTAGTGAGCTGAGTGAAGCTTCAGCATATGTCTTGTGCCAGCTCTGTGACAAGTATCTAAAAGCAGTACTCATCATTCACTTACCACTGATGAGAATAAACATTAATAGCTAAGCAGAGAGTCTAGATTTATACTGGGTTTAAAATGCTGCCTGGCCATTTACTAGCTGTGGAACCCTGAGAAAGTTATTTAAGCTCTCTGTCCTTCACGTTTCTCATCTGTAAAATGGGGTTAATAAGAGTACCTACCTAGTAAGACTGTCGTAATGGTTAATTTATAAAAAAAAGAGCCCTAGTGATATAATAGTTAAAGCACTCATCCGCTAACTGAAAGATTCGTGGTACAAACCCACCCAGCAGCTCCACAGGAGACAATTCTGGAGATTTGCTCCCACAAAGATTACATCCTAATGGCAGAGGAGGGTATGCCTACTGGCAGAGCTAAAGGTGGTTTATAACATTTGCCAAGCAGGGCAGAGGCCATGCCTTGTCTGCAGGCATGGCAGAAGGGAGGCTGTTCTGATCAAAGAATTGTAACTTGTTGCTTACCTAATAAACCCCCAAACTGTGTGTGTGTCGTCGAGTCAGACCTGTCTCATAGTTACCCCTCCTTCTGTTTCCGAGGCAGTATCACTACAGAAGTAGATTGCCCAACCTTCCTTGTGAGGAGTGGCTGGTAGACACATATACATACATATAGTGCTTATTACCTGGCAAATAATAAGCTATTATTTTTCATTTTCTCCATCTTGTCATGTTCATTCCCATAAAAGCTCCATTCTTCTCTCCTTGTAACCTCCCCAGGAGTTCTTTAGCACCTTTAACCATTTTAATACATACACATCATGACTCTGTCTCTCATCTTAAGTTTTTCCCTTTGCAAAGGAATATAACCCACCATTGCTATATTCCAGCCTCAAGTTCCATCCCACTAGATTGTGATAATCCCTATCAGATGGCATTTATATTATAGTCCAACTTAGACTATAATGTAAACTTACTTTATTATGTTTAGGAAGGGGACCAGGCTACAGGTACTGCTTTTGGTCCCCTTCCTGAATGTTTTCTTCTATACCTTTGAACTCTCTTTTATCTTATTACCTATTCTCCTACAAAACAATCAGCCTTCCAGTTTATCAAGTATTTTTCCACCCTCCCATTTCAGTTTAAAGTCTTGATGATCCCACCAGTAAGCCTGTGGCAGATGACGCTTCCTGGTTCTCACTTTGTATGTTCATCTTGAGCCAAGAAACCCTCACTTAATTATCTGAATGCACAGTTCAGACATCCAAATCTTGTTCATAAACACCATCTGCATTAAGAATCATTCACCTCCAGGATCTTCCTCTCTTCTAAAATCCTGACCAACAGCAGGAAGAGGTAATGGAATATCAACCTTCTCCAAGCCTTTGTTTTTCTGTTCAAGAACTTATGGTTCTTTAAAATGTTTTCTGGTCCCTTCTAATTATGACATGTATTCCCCTGTGAGTCAGCAGGAGTGGGTAGCAATTAGGAGGTTTAATGAGGCCTGAAAGGTTTTTCATCAGAGCCAAGATAGAGTCCAGGAAGACAGCAGCACCTCGATTGGCTGTTCAGGGCCCTTCTCTGCCCCTCCATGGGGAAGGTGGGTTACTAGCCAGGACCCAGCTCTTCACAGGGCAACAGCATTAGGCTTTTTCTCACCTCCAATGTTTGGAGGCCCTTCCTACCAACTCTGGTTCTTCTTCAGAAAGATCTTGCTTGCTTCTCTGCACGGTGAATCTCAAATTCATTGTGAACATCTACAGGGAGTTTTTCTTCTTCCTCTGTGTTATGTTTCTCCACTCTTCCTCATCACTTGAAGGGCTATGAGTATCTCAGATTCTTCATATTATTTCTTCATAACAATGTCCAGATTTCCCCTCACATATCCTGAAATGACCTGCAGAGCTGAAAGGTTTTACTCCCCCCATGTTATAGTCATTATCAACCTCTGACTGAAGGAGTAATTCCTTTCTGCAATTCAGAATCTTGAGCAACGGGGTTTCTTTTTATATTGATTCCATGAATCATCCCAGGAATTGGTTACTGATGATGGTCTAGACTCATTAAAGAACAATTTATTCTGCTTCTTCCCCATCTCCTGCATGATGGTCAGCCTGTATTTTGTCAGAAAGAATACATTCCCTGGCACATTGCCTGTGCTACTGCCATTTTTCTCATATTTTAAAGTACGTTGGAACTCCTAAATCAGGACTAATTCCTTGTGGATTACCTTATGGTTAATTTAGTGGCAGCAAAAAGCCTGCTGGCCACTGAGCTCCAGTCTCTCCAGGTCTGAAAATAGCTACTGAAGCCCATCCTCTGTTAAACTACCTTGATAAAAGCTCTCTGCACTGAGCAACCTAGGACCAATCTCCCTAACCTACAGTGAAAGTAGCTTGTGATAATCCCTGACTTGAGAACCAGCCATGTCACATTGAAGAAAGCCCTCCTCAATTTTCCAGCCTTTGCTTCAAAGATGCCTCCCTTTTTGGCCCTTGGCTCTGGGTTAGAGTATAAATTTATATTTCTTTAATACTTTATTGATGGTATTCATTTGTTAATAATACAAGTATTTTTATTTCTGTAGACCACTAACTTAAAGGAATAACTTGGAATTTACTAATTAATAATTATAATAACAATTATACTTGTGACTTGTAGAACATTTTTTTGTCCAAATAGATTTGATGATGATGATGATGATGACGACAGCTGTTTAGCTGCTGCCAACTCCAACTCATGGCGACCTTATTTACAACAGAACAAAACATTTCCCGGTTCTACGACATCCTCACATCCTCACAAGGCATATTTGAACCCTCTGTTGTAGCTACGGAGTCAGTCCATCTTACTGAGGGTCTCCCTTGCTCCTGCTGGCCCCCTGCACATCATCAAACATGGTATCCTCCTTCAGAGATTGATCTCTGACCCTTCCTGATGGGCAGGGCAAGGGAGTCAGCAACGTTCTATTGTGATTCATAGGGTTTCCATTGCCTACTTTCCATAAGTCTTTCCCAAAATACCTTAAGTCTGGAAGCTCTGCTGAAACTCGTCTGCCATGGGTGACCCTGCTGGTCTTTGAAATACCAGTGGCATCACTCCCAGCATTACAATAACATGCAAACCATCACAGTACAACAAACTGATATAGATGGGTAGTAGCCTTAGCTTTACTAGCCAGGAAAATTCCCACAAATTCACTGTTTCAGCTCTTTCCTTTATTCTAAGGAAAGCCATACTATCTATGTCCACAGACTAATTAGAACTGAAATCAACCTAATTTTCTGTCCCTGTGTTAAACAAAGCTGAGAACAAGCAAAAATAACTTAGCTGCTTATTCCAGGAAATCCTTGCTTCTAGAAGATAAGACAGTCAGCCATCTAAATTAACTTACTTATTAAAATTAACAGCTTATTTGTCAAGACTCTTAAGACTGCCTGACTGTTCCCACCAATCTAGGATTATGATGTCTTGAACTCTGTCCAACCCAAACTACTTGTCTATCTTGTAAGATCCTTTTTAACATTCTCCAGCCCAGGTGCTAAAATCGTATAAATACCCTCCCTGACCTTTCCCTTCCTAAGCCACCAATAAGACTCTCTATCAAGGCAGTGTTCTTCCTTACTGCAACAGGCTAATGAACTTAGCTTCTCTTGAGCCACAAGTTTTTCTAGTAGCCTTCTGCATTAATCAACACTGACCTTTTCTCGCCTATGTTTTTCTTCTTTGGGGACGTTATCTGCTGGTGCTATGTCCCCAACGATGCATTCTGCCATATCGTGAACCAGGGCTAGGCGTACACATCTAACCAGGCGAGAAATGTTAAAATAATTACACAGAATCATATGCACTATAAGTACCTTCTCTACACTATTTTAAAGTTACATATTTTTCTCTCTCCACCCTCACAGTAGTTTCTAAAGTAATAATATTCTTCCAGCCTACAAAAGTTCTGAATCAAAACTGCTAGTTAATATTCAACATCATACGTTAAGAATGCAGGGGAAATTACTGTTAGCATTAATTTTTTTTTTTTTTAAATGGCTAGTTTCTCAAATCTTACTGTGAAAGTTTGATTACTTCAACTTACAAAGCCAGTAGATGATGTAGTTACAGCATTTTTACTGAAACAGAAACAAGTATCTCCTCTGTATTTAAAATCTTGCTTCTGGCCCAGTTAGATTATCAAAAGGAAGTAGTTACAGAGTCCTGGGATGGGGGTGGACAGACTTGGGTTTGAATCCAGCAACCACTACTTATAAGCTGTGTGACCTCTGCCAAGTTACTTAACTTCTTGAAATGTTCAATTTCACCATTCATCAGTCTTCATTTTATCATTTTTTCCTGAGGTTATTCAGAAAATTAAATTTGATCATTTGTGTTCCTGACACACGCTAATCATTCACCAAATGGCTAAGATGATTAGTGATAATGAGGTTAGTGATGATGATGATAATCATCAAAGTAACAAAGGCAGGTCATGAGGTAAATACTCGAGAGAGCCAGTGAGTTTACATGCCCATTATTATTACCAGGGCAGTTCAGGGCCTAACATCCTCCCCTAATGTTTCCCTGTTTCCAGTCCCACATCCAATTCAAACACAGACTACTCCCAGGTTCAATTCCATGCCACACCACTTGCATCTTGTGCTACCTGCCAAAAAAATGTCTTCAGTTCCACATCTTCCATAAAGTAATCAGAGTCCTAAACAAAACAAAAAAAAAAAAAAAAAAACCTCACTGCCATCGAGTCAAGTCCAACTCATAGTGACCCCTCTTTGCGTTTCCAAGGCAGCATCTCTACAGAAGTAGATTGCCCATTCTTCCTTCTGAGGAATGGCTAGTGGGTTTGCACTGGCAGCCTTCCAGTTAGCAGCCAAATGCCTTAGGCACTATGCCACCAGAGACTCCCTAAATGAACCCTTTGCCACAATCAAAACTGATTTGCTTATCATTTTCAAAACATACCTTTACTTTCTCCCATGCGGCTTTAGTTTCTACACCTTTCTGTATGCTGCACCTTTTCATCTTTTCCTCCCTATGTAGCATCTTTAGAGCTGAGCTTGGATTCTGCCTCCTCCATTAAGATCACCCAAGATCACTCCAACTTTTATAATATTTTGCTAATTTTCTAACATAACTTATCTGGTACATTTTACAGAAGTTACTTTGGGCCTGTGTAATGCATGTGGGATTTATGTATTTCCTTACATTAATACTAAATATTTGGCCTTTGCTTAAGAAAGCATTTGAACACTTGTTGATTGGCTGAAGGGGGAGGAGAGACGATATCTCCTTCTCAGCTGTATCTTGCGTGTGTAACACCATATAACCACCTTGCAAGTGGGTGCCTCTATCCATAAATGGGGTTAAATAAAAGTCATAACGTACTAACATAATTTTAGACAAAAAACATTCACTTTCAAGGCCATGGAAATGCTAAAATCATACCTGATTTCCTCTGAGACCAAGGAAGGCTCTATCAGTTGCCAAAATGAAACCCAGAGCCAATTTGCAACATCTGAAGCAATCAACATACACTGTAATCACCCCACTCCCAGAATCTGTATGACTTGTCTCAAATTATTTTTGATGACATACAAACCAATACAAAAAAATCTGACACAGGCTTCAGACATGAAAGTGGTGCATATCCATGGGCCAGAGACCCTCAAAAAACCACACTGCTGTCGACTTGGTTCAGACTTGGAGTGACCCTACAGTACATACTAGAACTGTCCCATTGGGTTTCCAAAGCTGTCAATCTTTACAGAAGCAGACTTTACATCTTTCTACCACAGAGAGGCTGGGGGGTTGGAAATGATGAATTTTTCGTTAGCAGATGAGCACTTAACCACTGCACCACCAGGGCTCCTTCTCAGAGACCCTCACAGGGTCAAAATTCCCATCAGCTTACCGGTCTTTGTTAAGTTGGTCATCTTTGGTCACCAGAGCCATAATTGCCATCCGGTACATGTGATCGGATACACTCTCCGGCTTTTCCACATTTCTATATATCCAGCCAGTCCGCGGGACCCTCTGATAGAGGTACAGGAAGGGAATTTTAATAAGTAACTGTCATTTAAACCACAAGCCACACTCTTTACAGACACCCAGGGAATAGGGTAGGGGCACAGAAGCAGTGTCATGTCATGATGTTACCCACTGCCACTGAGGCGATTCTGACTCACAGGGACCCTATAGGACAGAGCAGAACTGCTCCACCAGGTTTTCAAGGCTGTAAATCTTTAGGAAGCAGACTGCCTCTTTCTCCCATGGAGCAGCTCAGGGATTCAGACTGCCAACCTTTCGGTTAGCAGCCAACTGCTTTAACAACTACACCACCAGGGTTCCATATTCTGGATTACTGATGTATGATCCCAGAACTTATACAAGTCTTTCAAAGGTCCCCAGATGATACAAACGGTTTGTACTCCACTAGCTCTGGTAGCATAGTGCTTAAGGCACTTTACTGCTAACCAGGAGGCTGGCGGTTCAAACCCACCAGCCAGCCACTCCTCGGAAGGAAGGTTGACAATCTACTTCCGTAGTGATACAGCCTCGCAAACCCAAGGAAGGGCTGGTATGAGTTGGGTTCGACTGGACGGCACATAACAACAACAACAGCCCCACCCAGCAATAAGCACCTCCTCCACCTTCCCTAGGAACTGCCTGGCAATTCACTTCAGTTAAGATTTCAGCCAAGAAAATCCTATGGACCAGCTCTACCCTATAACATATGGGGCCACCATGAGTCTGAATCAAGTTCTAGCAACTAAGAACATATTGTTGTTGTTGTTATGTGCTGTCGAGTGGGCCACGACTCATAGCGACCCCTCCTTGGGTTTCCGAGTCAGTATCACTACGGAAGTAGGATTGCCCAACCTTCCTTCCCAGGAGTGGCTGGTGGGTTTGAACTGCCAGCCTTCTGGTGAGCAGTCAAGTGCCTTAGGCACTATGCTACCAGTCCTTTTATTGACATAAAGACAAAACAAATCAGTCTTATTTTTCATAACTGCAAGAGTTGGGGCTTTTTGCCTCCGAACGACCTCATTTCATACAAGTAGAAAACACTGTGGTGAGAGTTCTGAAGTGACAAACTCCCCAGTTCTGCAGCATAACAATAAAATCATTTTTAATTGTTTGGCGCTACCACTGAACGCGACTCTTCCTTGTACGTAAGATTCTGTAATGGGGTGAGACTGCGTTTTCCCCTCAGAATTCTAAACTTCTACAGAATGTTGTCAACAGAAGCAACAATGGAATGAAATGGACCATCTGCTTTGATCTGAACAAAGCCATCAGCAAAACCACTACCTGAATTAGGGAAAGGGGTGCCTATGGCGTAATTCTAGTGTTCTGGTGGCGCAGACCCACCACCTGGAACCCACCAGCAGCTCCGCGGGAAAAAGATGCGGCAGACTGCTTCCTTAGAGACTAAAGGGGGAGGGGAGGAACGTTGCCATCCAGTCGGTTCTGACTCAGCGACCCCACCACGTGTTTCAGAGTAAAACTGCCCCATAAGGTTTACAAGGCTAACAGCTGCCACGCCGTTCCTCCAAGGAGCGGAAACCCACCTTTCCATTAGCAGCCTAGCGCTTAACCATCGCACCACCTGGGCTCCTTGGAAACCCTATGGGCCAGTTCTACTCTGTCCCAAAGCGCTTTGAGTTGGAATCCATTCGATGGCAGAGCGTTTAGTATCGTGTTTCTGGAGGTAACGGAGACACATTTAAAGCACCCCACTGAAATCCGCAGGTTCGATGGATTCTATTCTTCTCACTCGCCGCTCAGAAGCACCCCCAGTCACCGGGTCGCGGGCCCCGGAACGTATCACTGCACAAGAGGCTCTCCTGAACCCCACCCCACCCCCATGGCGGCTGTGCTGGGAGCGCCAGGTTTATCTTCTGACACAGGCCACTCATGGATGACAGACTACCAGCCTCCGGCCCCAGTGACCCAGCTGCGCCCCCTCCACCGGCTCTCTTCCTCCGCCTACCGTGCAGCACGAGCGACTGCATCTCGAGGTGCTTTCCTGGCCCCAATCCCGCGTGGCCGGGAGGAAGGAAAAGAAGGAAGGCCGAAAGGGGGCGGGAAGCTCAGCAGCCCCGCCGCCGGGTCCGGCCCATCTTACCGCGTGCTAGGCCGCCGCCCGGGCCGCTCTCCGCGCGCGGCCGCCTCCCGACCCCGGCAGCCCGAACCCGCGCCTGCTCACCTTGAGTTGCCCCACCAGCCGCAGGAACTGCAGCAGGTTTCGGGCCCTGTGGCCCGAGGAGACTGCAGCGGAGACCGAAGCCATGTAGCCACGGGACCCGAGCAGGGGCCTAGTAGGCCGCGCGGCCGCCGCTTGAAGCTCCTCCCTCTTCTCCCCACATCCCCGCCCGCTTCCTTCTTCTGCTCCTCCTTTCTTTCATCATCTCTTCCTCTGTCCAGTCTTCCACCCCTCCGCCTAGGTGGCTGCCACGTGGGCGTTTCACCACCTACTGCAGACACATGGCTTGGCACACACTAGGCACTCAGTACTTACTTTACAAAACTCCACTCACTAAACTACATCAAACTTTTTAAGAGATTGTAGTTAATGGGGTTGGGGGATCTCGGGAGGGGAACCTGTGCAATGTTACAACAAAAACCTTGCCTTCTCAGAACTCAGCGTCTAATTGGATGGTGCGATTAGGAACTCTAATTGAAAGCAGGCAATCGATAAGCACATACTTTAGAGGGGAGAAATTAGGAAGACAGAAGTGCTGGTGGACTTTGAACCTAAAAATAAATGGGTTGGGGAATGAGAACATTCCCATGTTGAAATCACCACCTTCCCAGTAACTCAAGTGCTTTGGTGGTGCAAATTCTAAGAGCTAGGCTGACAACTGAAAGGCGGTTCGAACCCACGGAACCCACCCAGCTGCTCCACAGAGGAAAGACTTGGCAATCTGCTCCCATAAAGATTACCCAAAAAAACCAAACC